GCTCTGCAACTGTGGCCCGAAAGTGCCCCTGGGTCACGCGTCCCTCCAGGACAAGCAGACTCTTCTTGTCATCAGAGTAACTGTCCGGAGGGGACCGGGAGTCCCAGCAGGTCCGAGCAGACACCACGGGCATTTTATAGAAGGGACTCAGCATCTCGATCTCAGTGTCTGTGGGGACAAGGGTACCGAGGGAGCAGTGTGACCTAAAGAAGGAGAGAGTCGAGATAGTTTTAGTGACTTGTTTAACTGCTCTATCCCAAGTATGATCTCAGCCAGGGCCGACCTGAGACGGTGCCGGAGGGGCCTTGTGCCTGCCCGACCTGCACCCCGCCACCCAGCTGCGTCCCTTTGGGGACCGAATGTTCTAGGTGAGGGGGCGGGTGATGCCACGCAGCCCTGTGCAGGTGCGGAGTCTTCTAGACTCTGTGAGCCAGCCTGTGTGCAGGCTCAGGTGTCCAGGGTGGTCCCTCATGTTCCACCCCAACGTGGACCCCAGGGCTCTGCCCGGCTGTGGCCCCCCCCAGAGCCACGGTTAGCAGCTGCACTGGTTCTGGGGACGGAAGGGCGACAGGAGACCTGCTGCAGAGCAGGCCCAGGCGGCCTGTCCCCGGGACGCATGCTGTGCCTCTGGTCTTCATGGTTGACGGCTCATCTGTTAGGCCGGGACCAGCGAGCGGTCCTGAGGAGGGCTGGCCAGCCTCCAGGCTTCCTGGCCAGGGGGTCTCTGCGGGAAGGCAGGCGCAGGAGGACGCAGCCCGTGGACACGGCTGTGTGCCAATCAGACTGCACTTACAAAAGGAGCGCCGGGCGGGCCAGGGTGGCCCCAGGTCCTAGTGGGCTGACGCCGGGTCCCAGTGGGCTGACGCCGGGTCAGGGGTGGTCTGCAGCCGAGACAGACCCAGAGAAGAGCAGCCAAATCAAGATGGAAGTGTCTTTGACCCCAGGGCCTCGTGGGTGTCTGGCCAGCGCTCCACTGTGAGCCACACCCGCCCTGCGTCCTCTCCAGCCTGGGGTGTCCTGGAAGGGGCTCTGCCCCCAGGACAGTGACCCAGGAGCCCCCACGGCAGCCCCGCTCGCGTCCCATTGGCCAGAGCTCACCAATGTCCCTAGCCGCAAGGGAGGCTGGGAGATGGGGTCCTCACTGGGCACCAGGGCCCTGCCGGAGGCCGATGTGGGGGGTGGGGGTGGACAGCTTGCAGTGGCCCTTGCCGCACACATCCCAGTTCTTGCCTTTGTTCTCTGCCCTCAGCGAGTTTCAAGCGCCCGGTGGTGATTCTGGGCCCTGTGGCGGACATTGCCATGCACAAGCTGACGGCAGATCTACCTGGGCAGTTTGAGATCGCAGGTGAGGAGCCAGGTGCTGGGAGCCAGGTCCCGGGAGCCAGGTCCTGGGGAGGGGCTGCGGGGCTGCTGCTGCTGTTCTGGGGGAGAGAATCTGACCAACACAGGCAAACACAGGACTTGGGACCCCCAGTGCCCTCTCCCAGGCTGCCTCATCAACCTGGATTCAGGTAGACCCTCTGAATCCTCCTTAACACATGGAACCAGGTGTGATGAGTGAGCCATTATTCGGAGACGGGAGATGGCCACTGAGCTAGAGGCTCTGCAGTGAGCAGGGCAGGCAAGACCCCAGGGGAGTCCAAGACCCACCACCACGAGGCAGCTGGACGGCTGGGGGTCAGGGCCTGCAGCTCCGGGCCAAGTCTGACCCGCGGCCCCTCCCTGGTGCCAGTGCCGGGGAGGACCCCGGGCCCACAGAGGCCAGGCGAGCTCTGACCACTGAGCTCACCCCTCGCCGCCCAGGAGCTAGGGCATTTTGAGTGGTTAGGGTTTTGTGGGACCCTCGTCCCCAAGGTGCAGTGTCTCTGCCTGCCGAGGGCCAGGGCCAGGGTCCTGCTCGGGAGGCCAGGAGGAGCCCCAGATGCAGCTCTGGTTTTTCCTCAAGAGCACTCGGGTCCTGGTGGCCTTTTGAGCAGGGGAGGGCTGGGTGGACGTGGATCTGAGGGGCAAGGGTCACCTCCTGAAGCTGCACGCCCTGTCCCCCCAGAGAGCATCTCCAGGACTGACAGTCCCAGCAAGATCATCAAACTGGACACCGTGAGGGTGATCGCCGAGAAGGTGAGTGCCCCCTGCTCTGGGCCCTGGACGGGGAAGCTGAGGCCTGGGCGCACGGTCAGGGCTGTCCTCACCCCACACTGACAGCTCCACAGAGCCCCTTGGAGGCTCTGGGTGGGCGGCCACGAGACAGACCCTGCCCTGAGTCACTCTGCAGGAAACCTGGGGCAGAGGCAGGGAGACCAGAGAGCAGCTCTGGTGTCCAGGATGCCCACCAAGCTGCCCCAAACCCTGCCCCCAACACATGCTGTGAGTGCCAAGGTGTGGTCCACTCTGACCTCCGACTACCTCTTTCCGTTTCCTCCACCTCTGTTCTGTCTCTTGGGTGTGTTTCTTTCTCTCTCAACACTGCCCACCCTGTGAGCCCTGCCCAGGACAAGCATGCGCTCCTAGACGTGACGCCCTCTGCCGTCGAGCGCCTCAACTACGTGCAGTACTACCCCATTGTGATCTTCTGCGCCCCGGAGAGCCGGGCGGCCCTCAAGGCCCTGCGCGAGTGGCTGGCACCCGCCTCCCGCCGCAGTAGCCGGCGCCTCTACGCACAGGCTCAGAAGCTGCGGAAGCACAGCAGCCACCTCTTCACAGGTGGGCGGGTCCTGGGGGCCCAGGAAGGGCGGGCGGGCCCTCCCAAGCATCCCAGGCACACTGACACCCTGTCCCATAGCCACCATCGCCCTGCAGGGTACGAGTGACGCCTGGTACCAGGAGCTCAAGGCCAGCATCCAGGAGCAGCAGACGCGGCCCATCTGGACAGCGGAGGACCAGGTGCAGGCACCGGCAGGCTCACAGATGCTCTCCGGAGTCAGGGCTCGGGTCAGGCGTGGTGGGGTCGAGAGTCGACCTGAGGCTGGGTCCTGGCCTGGGCCTGGGGTGGGGCCAAGCTTTGGGAGCAGGGTCTCCCGGGGCTGGGGCTCAGCATAGCCTGGGCCCTGTGTGAGTCCAGGGCCTGTGACCGGCCATCACGGCCTAAGGTCTGAGGACTGGGGTCCGGGAGGTTGAGGGTGGGCCTTTCGCCTGGCTGGGGACCGCGGCTGAGGCGGGCGTCCCGCGTGGGGCCTGGTTGGGGCCTGGGCTCGGCTGGACCAGTGCAGCATGCCCGCTCCCTGCAGCTGGACGGCTCCTCGGAGGACAACCTGGACCTGCCTCACTGCGGCCTGGCCGGCAGCTCCGCAGACCTCAGCTGTGACAGCCGTGCCAACAGCGACTATGAGACGGACGGCGAGGGCTGCACAGACGGCGAGGGTGGGCCCCACACGGACGTGGAGGAGGGGCCCCCGGCACCGGCCCTGGCCCGGTCCTCAGAGCCTGTGCAGCTGGACGAGCCCCAGAGCCCGAGGCATCCTGGGGACATCCCAGCTCACAGGGGGCCCCAGGTGAGTCCCAGCAAGGATCCAGGGATGGGAAGGCTGGGCACCAGGCGTGAGCCAGCAGAGTGTCTCCAGCCAGACCAGCTTTGGGGATTCAGGCATGGCGTGCTCAAGCCACTCAGTAAATCTCTGAAGGACAGGAGGTGGCTGCAGGACTCTCAGGGACGCCAAGCTGCAGGTGCTCCATACCTGTGTGGGTGCGGACAGGCCCAGGTGTGCCACGCCGCGGGTGACCCCAGGGTTGCTCTGCCACGGAGCCACGCCCAGCCCTTTTAATTCCAAGACAGGGTCTTGCTGAGTGGCCCAGGCTGGCCTTGGACTTGTGAGCCTCCCGCCCCCAAGTACCTGGGATGACAGGTGTGCGCCTTTGCAGAGTCACACATATGTACATATAAAATGTGGGGGTACTAGGGATGAAACCCAGGGGCTTTTTAACCACTGAGCCACGTCCCCAGCCCTTTTTTAAAATTTGAGACAGGGTCTCACTAGCTGAAGGCTGGCTTTGAACCTGTGACCCTCCCGTCTCAGCCTTGGGAGCTGCTGGCCACAGCGCCCAGCCAGTGACTTATACTTACAACAGTGTAGCAGTTGTATAGATGACCTACATTGTGTCCCTTGGCAGTGGGGACGAGGGGCGGCGAGGAGCCGGGCAGCTACACGTTTGGTAGGGACTATTTCTCTGATTTCTTGGGTCCCTGTTGGTAGAGGTGCTGGCTACGGCTGGCTCCTCACCCAGTGCTCAGCCTCCTCTCTGGGATGCTGGGGTAAACAGCAATGACTGCTGCCTGGGCACAGGCTGGGCCCTTCACCCTAGCCGCCCCTGCTGTGGGTCACTCTGACCCTCCTTCCTCCCTCTCCCTGAAGGTGAACAGCCGCCACCCCCAGGGCCAATGGCGACAGGACAGCATGCGGTAAGAGTCCCCTTGCTGCAGGCCCCAGGGCCCTCAACCCTTTTCCTGCAACTCAGACTTTGGGGTGGAGGCAGACGTCCAGTGGCAGGCCTCAGCTTCCAGGTGCGCCTAGCCTAGGGTTGGACGGGGCCTGATGGCCTCTCCGGGCCCTGTGAGGTCAGGGCCAAGGGCTGGAATCCTCTTCCCCGGGGACACTGAGCTGGGACTCTGAGGGTGCATAGGAGTTCTGGACCAGGCCCTGCCCACATGCATGTGCCAGGCAGCGTCAACCCCTGCAGTGCCTGCCCTCTGCACCCAAGGGACGATCTATTTCCTGATCCCCAGGACCTATGAACGCGAAGCCCTAAGGAGAAAGTTCACTCGAGCCCGAGATGCAGAATCCTCGGATGAGGAGGGCTACGACTGGGGCCCAGCCACCGACCTGTGACCCCGCCCAGGGGCCGAGTCCTCCCTGTGGCTGGAGTCCGCTCCCCTGCAGGACTTGGAACCCAGTCTCCCTCCCCTGGGCCTTAGTAAAGTCACAGGGTTTCTAGTGACTTCTCAGAAACACAAAGGGCAGGAGGGTGGGCCGGCTTCCCTCTGGGCCCCACCGCGACCCAAGACTCTGCCCATTCAATAAACTTTTAATTTTTCACGTTAGAAAATAGGTGGCTACAATCTCCTTTGGGGTCCCAGGCAGCTGCAGAGAGCCACAGGGACAAAGGCACTGAGGTGTGGCCCTCACAGGTACACGGGCTGCTCCTGGCCCGTCAGCAGGCGGTAGGTGGCGGCCGGCATGGTCTTGATGTGCACCTGCGGGGACAGGACTAGGCTGAGGCAGGCCCGGGCCACAGGGACCCGCCACCACCTCCTCCGCTGCCGCCGCCACGCACCTCACTGTGGGCCTCGGTGAGCAGCTCGATGATGCGCTCGTGCCGCGTGGCCACCACGCTCTGCCCGTTGATCTCAATGATGCGGTGCCCCACACGCACACCCCCGCGCTCCGCGATGCCGCCGCGGAGGAGGCTGCAGATCTGGGGGCCAGAGCGGGTCAGCAGCCCAGGCCCGCCCTGCCAGTCCCGCCCTGCCCCGAGCCTCGCCCCAGCCTCACAATGCCGTCCTCCACACAGAAGCCCAGCTGCTCACGCGCATGGGGTTTCCGGATGATGGCAGTGGTGACGGGTGGGCAGTGGACGATGCTGAGCCTCACTGAGGTCTGTGGCTTCACCTCCTGTGGGGCGGGGTGTTGGCCTCACCTGGGGCTGGGCCCCTTGACAGGCTGCAGCCCCCGGCCTCGGCTTTCCAACCCTCGAGGGGCCACGCAGGGGCCCTGCCTCCCAGGGAACTCACACGCACAGCTGCCTGGCACGCGGCCAGGGGCAGCCCCACCAGGCTGGTCCCGTTGATGGCAGTGAGGCGGTCGCCGATGCTGAGGGCGCCCGAGCGCTCGGCGGGGCCCCCGTGCAGCAGGTTGGCGATGACCGCTGTGGGCAGCAGGGAGCCCCAGCCCGACTCCACCAGGGCCACACCCAGGCCTTCACCCCTGCGCTTCTCGATGCACACCTAGGTGGGGACCAGGCCACACGGCTGCTTGGCACAGGCGGGGGTGGGGGACGCAGGGAGCCGGGGTCAGCCGGGGCCTCGCTGGCTCACCTCCCTGCAGTTGTCACGGTTGGAGAAGTGGTCCAGGTCCCCGTTGTGGAGGTGGCCAGGGCTGGCGGCCCCCTGGCTGGGCTGGGTGCCCACCTGGCTGGGGTCAATGCCGCTCTCCCGCAGGAACTGGCTGTAGGCCACGGTGAAGGCCTGGCCTATGGCTCGTGCAATGAGCTGGGCCTGCAGGAGGTGCCATGAGTCCCAGGCTGTCCCAACCTGCCCTTCAGGACCAAAGTCCCAGACATCCTCAGACCTGGGCCTTCCTGGCTCTATCTGGGACAAGATCCTGAGGAGATGGCCAACTGCCCTGGGGCCTTAGGGCGGTGGTGACAGCCAACTGGGGAATCGGGGAGGAGGGAGGGAGGGAGAGGGGGTGGTGGGGAACCTGCCGGGCACTCAGGAGGGCTTGGTCACACCCCTGTGGCCTCCAGGGCCCCTTCCGAACCTGTTCTTTCTGGAAGCCCCCCATACCCCCAGGGAAGATGCAGGGCCCTTGTCCCTGCCTGCCTGTCTGGGGCCAGAGTGGCCAACGCCTCAATCCTCACACCAGGCTGGAGCCCAGGAAGCCATGGCCTTGGGGGCGGGGCTCCGTGGTGGGGGCTGGCCTGCGTGCCAGGCCCTGGGTTCCATCCCAGCACCACGCGTCCACAGGGAATGAAGCAGCAAAAGGGCCATCCCCATCTAAGAGCCGTGGCCGGGCCGCAGGGCCCTCCTCAGCCTGGAAGCGGGAGCCCAGGAGCGGGAGGTGGCTGTGGGCTCCAGGGAGGGTGGGGACCCTAGGGAAGATGGCTGTGCCAGGCGGGGCTCTGGGGATGCAAATCCCTGCTCCCAGGGCGCTGCGGGCTCACGTCCTCTGAGTGGAAGACGTGGCACATCATCTTGCACAGGCGGCGCCCTCGGTCCTGGGGTGACCTCCGTGCCAGCCGCCGCCGCGCCATGAGCACCAGGACCTGGCCGATGTCAGCGATGTAGGAGATGGTCTGCAGGGCGTGGTCCATCATGGCCTCCTGGGGCGGGAGGGGCAGCTAGTGCGGGGCTCACCCTGAGACCTCCAGGACCCACCCCAAGCCGCAGGGTACGCAGGGTACCTGGGAATCGGCCGTGAGGACCTTGATCCTCTTGGTGGAGACGAAGAGGTCCACCTCCGTCATGGGCTGGGTCTCCCCGTCGGGGGCCTGTGGGGAGCGCAGGAATGGAGGCCCCCAAAGACCCACCCACAGGCCTGGGCCCTGTGCACCCCGCCTGGCCTCACCTTGACACGGTCCATCGCCTCCTGGGCCTGGGCCATGCGCGTGCTGGGGGGCGGGTTCCGCTCCGACACCAGCTGGGTGGAGCCCAAGTATTTGGCCCCAAATATGACACCATCCATGAGGTCCTCATGGTCACAGGGACCGGGTACTGGGGGCAACAGTGGGGAGAGGGTTGGCCCTCCTCAGGAGTCCAGGGCCTGCCTGCCCCTGGGGCTCTGTGCAGGGGCGGTTCCCAAGTGGTCTCTGCCCTGGCTCACTGTGCTGGTCACAAAGCTCCACCCACAGTCCAGCACCTGGGGTGGCTCAGCCTCAGGCCTAGTCCTGCCGGTCTAGAGCAGCTTGGCCACCCCTCCAGGGTTCCCCCAGCTGGACGCCTCTGCAGGGCCAAGCCGATGGCCAGATCCAAAGCCAGACCGCACTCAGGCACCATGTCCAGGGCCCTGAGACCAGCCTGGACCCCTTGCCCGCCCGTTTCCAACACCAGCAGCATTCTGGAACCTGGACCCGGCTCCAGTTTGGAACTTGCCAACCAGCACCAGGGCCTACTCTGCCTGCTGCTCCTGATCCCCCAATCTGTCAAGGTCGGGTGATAACTCTGCTCCTTGGTGTGGCAGAGACGACTGTCCCAGTCCATGTGGGAACTCCCATACTGTCCTGGGTGGGACGGAAGGCCCTGACCTGCAATTCCAGGACTCCCTGCCGGGTTCCAGGCCACCTGGTTTCGGCAGGGTTCCAGAAAGCAACAGCCTCCAGAGGCGCATCACCTCACTCCAAGATGCTAGAAATTTTTCTCTCGTGACAGCGGGGCTCACACCTGGGGCTCATGCATGGCAGGCAAGCGCTCTACTGAGCCAGCCCTGGCCCCAGTTCTAGAAGTCTCCACTGTGGCCATGAGGTAGCCCTTCCTAGGACTCTGTGGTTTGCAACATCAGCACGACCATTGTTCTCAGAACAACCCTGATCTAGGAACATTCCTGATGGTGGTTCTAGAACCCTGGCCCAGCCCCGAGCCATGCAAAGCCTTGCCCCCCAGGTCCTAGATTTCCTGTGGCCGCCCAGACCCAGAGCTCTACCACTGCTCTAGGATGTCTGGTGGCTTCTGCTCCCTGCAGCCACAGGCCCACTCTGGGCAGCCCTCCAGGGCCTCAGACCACAGCCTGCCCACCGTGTCCGCACCAAGCTCTGCCCTGGGACTCTGGAGCTGTGCTGTGCCACAGCACACGGCCGCCTGCCACACACATGTCCCGAGTCTGGTCCTGACTGAATGGCTGAGGGTGAGACACTGCAATCCTGAAGACGACTGCTCCAGAGCGTAAAAGCAAAAACCCTCAAAATATCCATCATATGAGCCTGGGGCTGGGCTCAGGGGTGGAGCGCTCGCCTAGCACGCGTGAGGCCCTGGTTTGATCCTCAGCATCACATAAAATACAGGCATTGTGTCCACTTACAACTAAAAAAAAAAACTTCATAAAAAACTAATTATAAGACAATGCACTAAGTGTCTTGTGATAATTAAAACATATTAAAAAATTATGTCGGCTGGGGCTGCAGCTCAGTGGCAGAGTGCTTGCCCAGCACGTGAGACACTGAGTTCAATCATCAGGATAGCATAAAAATAAATATTTTCAAGGGAAAAAAAAAGTTAATTCAACCTGTTCTTCAGATAGTTTTTCACGTAGCTAGCTAAAAAATGCAAATTCTCACGTGGCTGGCTCTGCATTTCTACTGTCAGTCCACTCCAGAGCTTTCTGGGCAGCTGTCGTCTTTCTGTGTTCTAGAAAAGGGCAGGCGAGGTCTGCTTGCTCCAGGGCTCTGGACTTTCTCAGTCCGAGCAGCACCAGGCGGCTCTGCTCATCAGCCCAGGACACCCGCACTACTAGCCAGGCTCCTTGGATGCAGGACCAGAGGCAGAAGGCCAAGCCCTAGAACCCCCTAGGCAAGAGTCCAGAAGCTTCTCAGAGCCACAGGCCCACTCAGCTCCCCTCTCTGCCACAGAACCTGCTATTTGATTTCTATCTTACGGTGGTTGGGGAAAATACTAGAACATTCCAGATGGCCAGGCTCTTCTCACACCTTTAGAACAGACCGACAAACTTCTGTACAGGGCCCAACAGTATTTTCATCCTGTGGGCCAGAAGGCCTGCTGCCAGGAGTCACGAGCCGATTAATGGCAGGCTGCTGAGAAACACCTGCAGGATGTGGTGGACTCACCTCAGGATGGCTGTGCCGATCCCAGGCAAAGCAATCCTCAGGACCACCAAATGGTCTGTCCAGAGACTGACCCATCCTTGCGTAGTGCATGACCCTCCTGGGCCCTGTCCTCATCCACCTCAGCCACAGACAACAAGCGAGCAGGTGCCACGAGGTTTTGGTAAAACTTTATTAACACTGAAACCTGAATCTCACCTCACTTTCCTTTCAAATTTTTAACCATGAAAAAAAATGCAAAAGCCGTCCTCGGCTCAAGAGACCTGTGAGAAGAGACCAGGGCCAGACTGGCCTGCAGATGGTCATTTGCCAGCGTTCACTCTGGAACCAACTGCTACAGAGCCATGCCCGCCCTGCCACCTGCTACTCACTCCAGAACATTCTCTAGACTCTGTTTCCTGGCCTTCTAAACTCTGATCCAAACTGCCAAGAGCTTCCCGAGAACTTCATCCTCATGGTAACCCCCAGCGCCACCTAGGAGGCAGGCCCTGGCTGTCTGGAACCCTAATCCCTGGGCAGGGTGGGAAGGGCACTCACCCTCCTGGAGGGCAGGGTATGAAGCCAGGCTCTTGGGGCCCTGGAAGGAGACAGAAGAGGGGCAGTGCTGAGTCCCCCTGCTTGGGTCCAGGCTGCAGAGGACACCTGGAGGGTGGAGCAGGCACTACCTGGACACCGTCAGGTGGCTCTTCAGGTGTGACCAAAGGAGAGGTCTCCAGCCAGGGCTCAGGGGAGCTGCTGGAGCTCCTGCTACCACCCTGCTCGGCAGAGGCTGCCTCTGCCCATCCCGGGGGCTCGGACTCTCCATCTGCATCCTCAGGGGGCTGCAACAGGGGATGGGCAGGCTCTGGAGGCTCCTGGGCACCAGGCTTAGAAGGCGAGTGCCCCTCACCCTGCAGAAGCCTCAGAAGATCATCCCGACCAGCCTCAGCAGACAAGAGGCCGTGGGCGTCAGTCGTGTCGTGGGGGTCCAGGCCCTGGCCAGTGGCAATGTGCAGAGGGCAGGGTGCGCTGTCTGGGAGCAGGCCCATCAGGTCTCCGGGCAGAGCCTCAAACTGCTGCACCAGGCCCTGAACGCTTGACCCCTCGAGGTCCACCGGACCCAGGCTGCCGGGGGCCTCAGGCACCGCGTCCCACTGACTCTCAGTGCTGAGGTCCTCCGAGGGCACCAGCGGGTCCTTGGGCTTCTCCAAGTCCATGGCGGGAGGCTCTGAGCGCGGCCGGGGGGCGTCAGGAAGTCCGCGGCTGGCTCAGGCTCCGGCCGGCGTCCCCATGCGGATCCGAGGCACCCGGGGCTGGGGCTTGCTGGGCGCCCGCTCCTCCCGGGGCTGCTCCCGCCGCGCGCCGCGGGGTCCTCGCTGCGCCTGCAAGGGCCGCGCCCCCACTCACCGACCAGCAAGCCGAGGCTCGGCGGCCGCCCCACGCCAGCGGCTGCCCAGTGCTGCCCAGAGCCGGGGAGACGCCGGCCGCGGGACCCCGCGCCTCCCCGGACCCGTGGACTCGGACCCCGGCGCCCGCCCCGCTCACCTGCCGAGCCGAGGCAGAGCCCGCCCGCGCGGCCCCCAGGCCCCCGCGCCCGCCGCGGCATGTCCCGACGGCCCTGCCCGCCGCCGCTCGCCGACTCACGGCCCGGACGCCCGCTCCTCCGTCCCCGGGCGCCCCGCCCACTGGACCTGCGTGGCCTCGCGAGGCCTGCTGGGAAACGTAGTCCTCCAAGCACATGTCGCCACACGGGGGCGCCAGAGCTGCGACGGGTGTAGAGTCACGAGTTCGAATCCCGACCCTCCAGTCTCTCAGAGGGAGCCCAGGCTGGCCCTCTCTCCGCAAAATGAGATTACTGCGTGCCTCTTATGGCTGGGATGGCACGTGGGAAAGAAGTGGGGCTGGGAATACTGAAGAGGAGTGAGTCTGGTGGAAGACGCACTTCCGGTTGGGCTCAGAGTAGGCGGGGCCAGTGGCCTCCCCGGCCTCGGGGCGGCCGAGGAACTCTGCCTGCCCAGCGGGACAGTGGTGCCCACCTCCTAACGGCGGGTAAGGATTTAGCAATAGGTCCAGGATATACCAAGGATACGCTGGAAGAGTTGGCTTTTCTTTCTTTTCGGCTTTCAAAGCATTGCTTATTGGACCAAGCCAGGAATACGTTAGGTGAGGTATCTTGAGTAAATAAGTATCTGAAGAAGGGCAAGAAGTTAGTGAAATGTCCGCTGAATATTACGTCACACTAGAACTGGGACCGTCACCAAAGTCACGGTGGGCCGAAGGCTTGCCCGCGGCCGGCAAGACCACACTTCCCAGGAGTCCCCGCGGCCTCACGTCTCCCGGAAACGAGCGCGCGCAAGCATTCGACCTACGTCATGGCGGCCAGGCGCCTCTTCGGGGCTACTCGGGCCTGGGCCGGCTGGGGGACCCGGGAGATCCTAGACTCCCCCTCTCCTGGAAGACTCTTGGTTCGGAATTACGCCAAGAAACCGAGTGAGCCAGGGTATTAGGGATCAAGATAGGGACGGTGGACACGCGGGGAATTGGTGGCGCGCAGGCGCCAGTTGGGGAGGTGGGTCTGGAGTTTCTGCGCAGGTGCAGAGACAGAGCACAGGCTGTGTGCGCAGGCGCAATTTGGGGCCACTCGGAGCGCCGGCGCGCGTCTAGTTGACACCTGCGGATGCGACTGCGCTCTGTGCGCAGCCGCCGGCCGAAACCTCGCCGCCGTTGGCAGGGTGTGCGTTCAGCAGCGGGCGCGTTTCAGTGCGCAGGCGTGGGAGAGCGGGGCTTGTCTGGGGAGGCGGGAGCGAGGGTTCTCCTCTTATTTCTGCTTCCAAGTGGCTGTGAGCCTTGGCACGAGCCGCCTCCGGGAGTCGGAGAAAGATATGTGGCCCATCTAAGTACTAAATTCCCTGATATTTAGTTATTAAGTTGCACCTGGATACAGCCTTGCCTGATCTCTGTGAAAGGAGGAAGCAGGCCAGTGTTAGGGCTAGAGTCACGCGCGGCCAGTGGAGGGAGACCACCTCCGCGAGGTGAACCGCATCACAGCCGGACCCGAGGGGGGATGAGGCCACCCTCGGCTCGCCTAGCTGGGCCCCCGCGATTGGGAACGTAGGAGAGCCCCAGGGCCTGGGAGGGGGAGCTGGGCTGGCCTGACTCTCCCCTGCTCCCCAGTCGCCAAGGGCGCCAAGGGCGGGAAGGGCAGTGTGGTCAGCGAGGCCCTGAAGGACCCGGAAGTGTGCACCGACCCCGTGCGGCTGGCCACGCACGCCATGGGCGTCAACATCTACAAGGCGGGCCAGGACGTGGCCCTGAAGCCGGACGCCGAGTACCCCGAGTGGTGAGTGGGCCCCGCGGAGGCCTGAGGGTCAGCTCAGGCTGGCCCAGACCTGAGCCCCGCCCCACCCCCAGGCTGTTCCAGGTGAACGTGGGCCCCCCGAAGAAGCTGGAGGAGCTGGACCCCGAGACGCGGGAATACTGGCGGCTGCTGCGGAAGCTCAACATCTGGCGCCACAACCGGCTGAGCAAGAGCAGGAAGCTGTAGGGAGCGGGCCCAGGCGGCTGGACCTGCCTCTCCCCGCAGGCGCCAGCCTTCCCTCCCCTTCCCCAGGCCTCAGTGGGCTGCTGGAGTTCCTGGCCTTGTCCAGAGGCCTCGGCCCCAAACCTAGGAAGGGAGGCTGTCCTCACGAAGCCTCTGCCAGGGCCTCAAACCTGCCCGGAGCTGTTGGGAGCCGGAGAGAACCTTTGAGCTTCAGGAACTGAAAAGCCCAGGTGCAGGTGTCGGGCTTCAGGCAGGGCTGGATTCAGGTGCTTCAAGATAAAGACCTGTGTCCTGTCCGTCCCTGGATCTTTACCCCCCTAGCCTCAGGTCTCCTGGCCAGCACCCCCGACACACACACACACTCAGCAAGTGGAGCTGGGCGAGGGGACTGCTCAGGGCAGTCCGTTGAGCTCAAAGGCCTGGTCCTCCCTCCCTCCCTCCCACTGAAGCCCAGGCTCAGCCTCCCACCTGGCCCTCCCCAGCTGCATCATGAGCCTGGTGGGCAGCCGGGTCCCTGCATCCTCTCGCCCAGCCCAGCTGTGAGGTGGGCCTAGGAGCAAGACCCAAGCCCACCAGATTGGAGGAGGGCAGGGGGGTGTCCAGTGAGGGGCAGCAGGGACCTCTCACAGGACTCTGCCCCACACAGGTCCACTGATGGCCTGGGCCTGCCCCCTCCAGGCCCCTCTGGCTACAGACTGGACCCTGCAAGAGACCCTCAAATTCTGCCCGGTCCCAGGGAGATGAGAGCCCTCGTCCTCTCAGCAGGCTCTACAGAAGGTGACCAGGCACCTACTCCCTGACTGGTCACAGATGCAAACATCCGTTCCTTCCTGATTCTCAGGTTGTACCTGCCCTGCTTCAAGCCTGTGGCGGTTCTCCGCAGCACTCCAAGTAAAAGCCAGAGTTACAGTGGCCACTGCGCCCTGCCCACCCTGCCTGGTCACCTCCCTTAACCCCTTCATCCTCTGCTCCAGCCACAGGGACCCTCTGCTGAGCCTGTAAGACACCAGGCTTTTCCTGCCCCAGGGCCTTTGCAAGCTCTGCCCTCTGCCTAGACTGCTCTTCTCCCAGATAACTCCCCAGCTGCTCCCTGCCACCTCCCCAGGTCCCCCATTAAAGTTGCCGCACAACCAGTCACCCTGGTCTTTCTCACCAGCACTTACCACCATCTCACATTCCATGTTTTAGTGCAGTTGTGTTTTTAATATTTTGCGTCTGCCTCCCGCTGTCTCCAGCCTGGGACCCGTGGTGTGTCTGGAGGTGGCTGGGTGGCGGAGGGCAGGGCTAGCGGTGGACTGAGGGGTGAAGGGTGGAGGGTGGGGTGGGCGTGCGGGTGCTCTGGGTGTTGACCTGGGCCTGTGGCTTCTTCTCCCCCTGCGCCCAGCGCCCCGGGTGCACCTCCTCGGCGCCTCGCCCTGATCTGGGAGGTCCCAGGGCTGTCCAGGTGTGGGCCATGGGCTGTGGGGACATCTGCTTCGCCCTTCCCCCCGTGTGGAGGGAGCAGGAGCTGATAGCAGCACCCAGCGCCAGCCACCCTTGCTTGCGTGGGTCCCTGAGCCTCCCTGGAGGGCACTGCCCCCACCAGGTCCAGCCCTGCCGGCTGTGCTGCCTCATCTCTGCCCATCTCTGGCCTCCTCCCTTAAGGGGCTGACGGTGGAGCCTGCCTCCCAGGACTGGTGGCAGGAGGGCTACCGGCAGGCGCAGGGTAAAGGTGACAGGAGGCTGCTGCTGTTTGTCACTTCTTGTCACTTCTGGGGCCCTGTGGGGGAAGGGCTGGGCAGACACTTCAGGAACCTGGCGCCCAGCACCATGCCCACTGGACACATGGGCTGAGGGGCCGAGACGCCCACAGGGCAGGGCCCCTGCCTGGGCCTGCAGGTCCTCAGGCCCCCCCTGCTGGGTGTCACCTGGCTGTGGGGTGGGGAGGGTGGGGGCACAGGGCAGGGTTCCCAGCAGCACATGGAGGTCTTGCTCCTGGAGACGGCTGGGTCTGATTGGCTGCTGTCACCAGGCCCGTCTCAGGCTGGTGGCCAGGTTCTGTCCAGGGCCTGTGCGTGCTCCTTGGCCAGCAGCCGCAGGGACGCCTCCTCCAGGGCGAAGCCGTCCACCAAGGTAGGAGGGAAGGCGTGTGGCCCCAGGGAGGCCTGCAGCCCTGGGGCTGAGCCCAGGACGCGGGGGAGGCCTGGCCCCACCTGGGGGCCGGGGCCCAGCCAGGGCTCCAGGGGCAGTGGCAGGGCTGGGGGACGGGCAAGTGGCAGTGTGGGGGCCTCTGGGAGCCTCGGGGCTGCCACCGCTCCTGAGCCTGACTCCAGGCGCTCCTGGCGGCGCCACTTGGCCCTGCGGTTCTGGAACCAGACCTGGGGAGTGGTGGGGTGCTGCTGCGAGCTCGGCCCCTTCCTCCCCCTCCCCAGGCCCCTGAGGGCTGCCCGCCGCTGCCAGTGGCTCTGCTGTGCTGCTCCCAGATTCTGGGTTGAGGGGTCCCTGCCTCCAGCGTGGGCCCGGCCTCCTCCCTGGGCACTCAGGCCTCTGGGGCTCCCCTGCCTCCCGCCCACTCCTCGAGGCCTGGCGCCCTGCCTCCACCAGAAAGGCCCGGGTTGGGGCCTCACCTGCACGCGCACCTCGGGCAGGTGCACCTTGGCCGCCAGCTCCTCGCGGCTGTACACGTCCGGGTAGTGGGAGGCCTCGAAGGCCCGTTCCAGCTGGTGCAGCTGGTACGTGGTGAAGGTCGTGCGGTTCCTGCGGTGCTTCTTCTTGGGGGCCTCCTCGCCTGGCCCCAGGCCCCCACCCTCAGGCCCCGGCCCCTCTCCCAGGCTCAGGAACATGGCTTCTCACCTGGCCGGGAGGACAGCAGGACAAAGTGTGGTGAGACAGTGGGAGGAACTGTCCCTGGGAAGGCAGGGGAGCCCACCTGCACCTCAGCCTCTGCCCTGCACCCCGTCTTTCTGGGGTCACCTCCCGCCTGCCCGTCCCCACTGCTGCAGCGTCCGCTCCTGCCGCTCCTCCCCGGTCCCCTCTCCCTGGCTCTGTGTGGGAGGACTCTGGGGTGGTGTCCCTCAGGCCCGAGTCCTCCACCTGTGCCGCCTGTCCAGGCTGGCTGCCCTCCACCAGCCTGCGGCCCGGCGTCTGCTGAGCCCAGGGGAGGGAGGATTAGTCGGAGCCGATTAATTGAGGCGGCCCCCCCCCCCCGCCGCGGGTGCCGGTGTCCCCAGCCTCCAGGGAGGCAGCACTGGGGGCCAGGCTCCCAGGATCGCCTCCACCCCGCCCCGTGGGACGTCCAGGCCCCTCCGGCCTCAGCTTCCCTGGCTGTAAAATGGGGTCTCGGTGGAGCAGACAGCGCATAGCAAAGGCCAAGCGGGGACCCTGGGGGCGGGCGCTGCGGCCATCGATGGGGGCCAGCAGGGGCAGCCGGCAGGTTCAGTGTCAGATGACGGAAGCGAGGTGAGGGCCGTAGTAGGGTCCTCTGGATGCCGGCCAGGGAGCAGGAAGGGTCATTCTGGTTGGGTCTTGAGGTCTGCAGGAGGTCACTCTTCCTGGGCTCACTGCGTGTGCAGCGAGCTTGTACGGAGCACTCAGTGTGTCCCAGGTACGGCCACGCAGGTGGCGTCCCAGTGGGCAGCGGGCAGCCGGCAAGCAGAAACGAGGCGTCCAGCTTTGGAGCCTCGCAAGCTCCCCCGGGGCCACTTCAGGGAAGAGGCGGGGGTGTGGGGTGGCGAGGTGCTCGCTCTGGGGACAGCTCTGCAGCGAGGAGGGCGCTGGGGGCTGTGGGCGGTTGTACAGCAGGGGGCTCACGGATGTCCACGTGGGCAAGATGGGGACCGGGAGGAAGCAGGCACAGCCCCGCGGGGAGAGGCCGGAGGCCCTGGGGTGAGGCCGGCTGGAAGGGGCAGGAGGAGCCGAGGCGTTTCTGGGGCACAGCATTTGGGAGGAGCTGGACGTTGGGTGAGGGGCAGCCCAGACGCAGGGTGCCTGGCGGCCTGGACTCGGGGGCGTGGGGGACACACGAGAGGCTCATCGAATGCAGTGAGGGGGATGGGTCCAAGTGGGGCCAAGACCCCTCTGGGAGGGAGGGGGACGCAGCAGACAGAGGAAGGACCTCGCAGGGACACAGCATGGCCACAACCACCGCCGCCAAGCCCGGCTGTAGAGGCAGAGGCTCCCGCGGTTTGGGAGGGCGTGGGGGGCAGGAGGCCTGGGCGGGGCTGCCCAGCAGTCAGCTGCAGTGGGCACAGGAGGGCCCCGCCCGCCCCGCACCTCCCACCCAGGGATCCCGCTGCTCTCAGGCCCAGGGGCGCACAGCAGGGGCCTGCGGGGACCCATGGGTGGAGCCGCACTCCAGACGCTGTCAGCTTAGAGGGCGGATTAGGGGCGGGCGGCAAGGGACAGGTGGCCCTCCAGCTGGCTCGGCGGCCTCCCAGCCTCCTGCCCTCCCGTTTCCCAGGAGGAGCTGCTAAACCCCTCGGGCACTGGTGGCCAGAGTGGACAGACTTCAGGAGCCATGCAGGAGGTCAGCCTGGCCTTGGGACAGCTGCGTGGGACTCCACTGGGGTCAGCACTGGGAGGCGGCTGGGGTCCAGGGGCCCCAGGGTTGTGTCCCCAGGAGTTTTTGTGCCCTGGAGGGGACAGGCTGGCGCCCATTGCCCCCCCACAGCGAGGCCTTGCGCACCTAGCCTGGCCGTGGACTTGCTGGCCAGGGCCGGTCAGCCTCCGCCTCCCGTCCAGCGCTCTCCTGCAGCAACCGAAGCCGCCTGAGGGCCACAGCCTGACCTGCCTCCTCGGCGTCCCAGTCGCTGGCCGACTGTGGAAGTCAGCAGGGAGCCACCGAGGAACACCCGCTGTGTGCCCGCCCTGGGGTGCCCGCCCCATGCTCCCTGCCGCTCCCTCCAGGGTCCTCACGCCCCCAGGAAAGAGCCTGGCCGGGCAGAGGGGACAGCTGGCCCGTCTGCCCAGGACTTCGAGTGTGAGCACTGAAGTCCCACCTAGAGAAGTCCCTGTCCCGGTCACACAGATGGGTGTGGCAAGGAGGGGTGGTGTGGCCAACAGTCCCCAGGTGTGTGCCCAGGCACCGGCTCGAGTGCTAGGCCCTGGACATCTGGCCTGCTTTTGTCCAAGGGCAGTGTGGCACCGGGGCTATGGGGTGCCCTGTGCCTGGGAGGGCCTGCCCAGTGACGGGGGGCAGGGCGAGTGGCAGGACAGCGGTCATCGTGACTGGGGAGCAGAGCTGGGGGAGGCAGGAAGCTGGCCCTGGAGGTAGGGGCTGAGCCAGCTGGGCTCTGCGCCCGGGGGAGCAGCCCACCCCATGGGCCTCGCTGCCCGGTGCTGCCCGGCTTCCTGGCCCACAGCTCCTGCAGCATTGGGGCACCCGGGGGGGACGCAGAGGAGGATGGGCTTCCCAGGACCTCCCAGAGGGGGTGAGGCCACAGCAGAGCCCTCTTCTTGGCTGGGGTGGGGCTGTTGGAGACAGTGGCAGGGGGCAGCGGCAGGGGACAGGAGACATAGACCCTGAGGGATAGTAGCCTTCTCCGAGGGGCTGTGGAGCTGGGGCTGTCCCTGGCCACTGGGTGCTTCATCTGTGAGGGACCCCAGTGGGGACACCTGCTGATGGGCCCAACCCGGAGCCCCTGGGCACTGTCCCCATGAAGGTGTGCAGGGGGGACCCAGCTGGATGGGTCCTGAGTGGGCAGTGAAGGGGCCCCATGTGGACCATCAGGGTGCTGCAGGTGACAATCTCTGGGTCCAGCCCCTGGACCACCGTTGGGGGACAGCGGGTCAGTGGGGCACAGTGGCAACCAGGGAAGTCCACGGGGTCCCCAGGCGCGGGCCCTAGGAGGTGCCAGTCAGAGACACACGAACACCCTCAGGCCTTGGAGCTGGTCTTTATAGAGGCCGTGGTCCTCTGCTCCCAGGTCCAAGTGTCCACGCTGCCCGGCCCATGCCCTACCCTGGGGCCAGGAGGGCCGCTGGTGGCCTGGCCTTCCCTGGGCCTGGCCGGTCCCCGCCCCGTGCTCCCTGCTGCTCTCTTGGTCCTCTGGGGCCCTTGGCCCTGCCGGGTGGGGTCACGGCTCCTGGCTTCGGGGCGGAGTGGACACGTCGGCGTCCTGTGCCCCCACGGTGGCCGAGGTGCCCAGACTGCGAAGCTCCCGGGTCAGCTTCTCTGCCACCTTGCGGAAGGGTGGCCGGCGGGAGGGCTCTGCCTCCCAGCAGCTGCCCATGAGGGCGTGCACGGGCCCAGGGCAGCCCTCGGGGGGCTCCATGCGGTAGCCCTTCTCCACGGCCTCGGACACCTCCTTCAGCGACTGGGGACAAGGGGCACGTGAGCGCGGCAGGGCAGGGCAGGCCCTGCCCCATCCTCAGGAGGCCCTGCTCACCATCTTGGGGTATGGAGCCCGTCCGTATGAGAAGACCTCCCACAGCAGCACCCCAAAACTCCAGACGTCCGACTTGCTGGAGAACTTCTGTGGGGCCCAAGAGCAGGATGAGTGGGGCCCAGGGCTCCTGCGGCCTCCTCTTCCTCCAGGAAGCCCTCCAGGGCTGGCCCCCCCTGTAGGGTCCCCCCATCCAGGTGAGCCCTGTTACCCTTCCCCTCAGAGAAAAGCCCACGCCCACTTCAGAGATGGGGAAACTGAGGCAGAGGGCAGACTAAAAGGAAAGACCATGGGCCTCTGGCTTGCTGAAGAGGCAGGGCCATCCCCTCGGAGGTTCAGAGAGGCCTTATGCCGTGCCAGGGTCACACAGCAGAGCTGGGACGCCGTCCTACTTTGTGGGACTCTGAAACTCCCAGTTCTGCAGGGGGCTCACCCCATGTTTGAGAGCCTCGGGCGCTGTCCACTTGACAGGCAGCCGGCTTGAGTCCAGCCCCTTCCGCTCAGCTTTGGCCAGGCCGAAGTCACTGACCTTGGCCACCAGGTCCTCGGAGACGAGGATGTTGCGGGCGGCCAGGTCTCGGTGCACCAGCTTCTTGCTCTCCAGGTACTCCATGCCCTCTGCCACATGCCTGGGAGGGGCGCCCAGAGCCTTAGAACAGGCCCGCCCTCCCTGCCTCAGTTTCCCCCGCAAGGGGGAGCCCACCTCCCCACCAGGAGCCCCACACACAGAGAGAACTGCAGGAGCTGGGCGTTGTTCACCAGGGCCCGGCCGCGGGTGCGGAGGAAGTTCACCAGGTTGCCCTGCGGGGTGGAGAGAGGTCGGCTCCAGGCTGCGCGGCCCCGCCCCCTGCGCCCGCCCGGGCCGCACCTTGCTCACGTGCTCCATGACGATGTAGAGGCCCTGGTGCAGGATCACGCCCAGGAGCCGCACCAGGTTCTTGTGCTGCAGCTTCCTGGGGGGGGAGGCGTGAGAGCCGGCCGCCCCGCCCCGCGCCCGCCCCCTCCCGCCCCAGCCCGGGCCTCACGTCATGACCGCGGTCTCGTCCAGGAAGGCCTGGGCTGTCACGTCGCACTTGATGTTCTTCACGGCCACCTTCTGCCCCAGGTACTCGCCCTGCAGGACAGCTGGGCGTGGTGGGCACAGGGATCAGGAGGCCACCAGTGATGGGAACAGACAGGCCCGCGCCCCGGGTCCCCAGGCACCCAACACAGCTGCAGGGGCCAGCCCCGTGGCCCTGCAGGCTGCAGACCAGGGCCAGAGACCCCCGGAGCAGGGGTTCGGGCTGCACCCCCGGGCCAAAGCTGCTCCTCTGGACTGACGAGGCCCTGGGCTCACGCAGGCGACGGTCACCTGCACTCGATCCCTGCACCACAGAGCACTCAGCATGCTCTCTCAGGGCTCCAAGGATGGGGGTTCGGTAGTGGGAGAGTGACCACCTGGCCACAAAGCCAGAAGCGTCCCACTCTGGCCCTTAC